ATACGACACCCCAAGCCTGAAGTCAAGTGGTCTACAAGTGATCCCTCATCTCATGCTCCATGGGGGGTTTGAAATAAGATGGCGATGGCAAAATCCCATCTGTCGTGGATGTCAAATCAGGTGGCCTGTTTGCAGATGCCGCCACATGTGAAACAACAGCAGCCAAAGAAGATGCGCATGGTGATTTCACAGAATCTATACTGTCATAGTCACTTTAGTCTCTATCAGTATTCTAATTTTAAGGTTGAAACCTACAAAACAGGAGGAAAAAGTGGTAGCAAATATACTGATGAGACTAAACCATTATGCCAATGTTCATAGTATCTTGTATGACACAAGGTGATTCTCTATTTTATATGTGAGGTTATCCTCTGGTTCCTTTCTTGCTAATTAAAGAAATTCACACTGTGTTAAAATCCATATTGGATTGATTCACACAATAATTCTCTCATAGTCTTACGTAGACAGTTTCTCTCACGTTTCTCACCTTTTTTTCCACCCTCCTCATTTATCATATATACTTTCACACGTAAAAATAACTGAACATGTTTAAAACAAAAATATTCAAGAATGTTCTATTTCAAAATATGAAGAAAACCATTCTATGAAGCATCTGTCTGTGTGTCATCACACTAGACTTTACTAGAATATTCATTAGATCTGATAGATTGGCAGCACAAAATCATGAATGCAAGTAACCCCATTTCAGTTATATCATGTCCTTAAAAAAATATTTCCTATTCAGTGAACCATGACTGTTTCTCTAAAAACCAGCTTCTTTCAGATGGAGTGAACTAGTGGTTTAATTTAATTTGATCCAGGTGTTGGTTCATTGTGCCCTAATTATCTGTTCTAAAATCAAATTAAATTCTGAAATTGAGTTTTTTTTTTTTTTTTTTGAAGGTTTTAGTTGAAAATGGCTACCCTCTGGATATTGTGCAATCTAGCATTCATGTTAAAATTGTACAATTTAATAAACCCAAATTGTATGGCATGGAAAAGTGTCTTGTTTATTTGTGATTAGGATGGATTGGTGAGGTTAGCAATAGATTTGCTTGGCAAATCTCTCAGTGTGCAGCTTCATTATTTTTCTACTAATCCACATCTTATTTTCACTTTCCAACCTAAGCTGAAATCTTTTCATAAAGATGTTCTGCACCCCCATTATGTTAGTCCAGTTATTTATGATTACAAATGCCAGTATAATGCTGAATATAGTGGCAGAACTAAACAGAAGTTGGAGGTAAGGATTGATCAGCATATACTAGCTATGTTGTGGACAGTATAAAGATTTGTATACACTTGTTGATATTTCTGGTTCTGCGATTAGAGAACACTTAATAAATACTGCATATTGAAAAACAGATCTTGCAAAAGCTTAGAGTTGAAAGTGGACCCCATCCTCCAGCACCGACCATATTCTCCTGACTTGGCTTCTTCAAATTTTCATTTGTTCTGGTCTCAACAGAACAATTTAAATGTCAAAAAATTTGACTCTGTAGAGTCAATTGAAAACTACCTAACAAACGACTTCCAACAAAAAACAAAATGTTTCTATGAAAATGCAATCAACAAAGCTTGTATAACAATGAGACAATTGTTAAAAAACAATGGAGACTTGTACTTGATTAATAAATTTTTTGCAAGTATATAAGATTTAATTTTTAATTTTCTAATCAGGTACAAATTTTTTCAATGATATTTTATACATATGTATGTATATATATATATATATATATATATATATATATATTTTTTTTAATTTGTATCATGCAAGGGGACAATAATGACATAATCAAAATGTTGATGTTCCACACCACTTCAAACAAAAGATCAGGAAAGAAACCACCATCAATACTGTAAAGAGCGATAACAGCCACTGGACTTAAAACCTATTTTCCTGAAAATTAATTTTAATCGAAAGATTTTATAAATTTCACTTGAAAGCAGCACTAGCTGCTCAGTCAATGAATGTTGAATGTTTCCTTATAAGGAAATAGCTAATATTACCATTACCATTTTGGGAAAATGTCAACTGCACTCATGAAAATAATCGGGAAAAAGATGAAGATCTGAAAAAGTCTGCAAAAGTCATGAGTGGATAAAAATATATTTCCAATCATAGTAGGATGTCAAAGAAGTTGACTTCAGCAAACCTGACTAAACTTGGATTGTGTACATCAAAAATGAGGTATAGAAAGAAACTTCAAAATTAGGTGGATGCTGAATCTGCCTGAAGCTGGCAATTTCCCACTGTGATTGAAAACTAACAAAGTCTAGTGATATCATGAGGTATTGCTGAGTCATTTTCATTTAGTGGTAATGATGCATTAGACCCCCGAAACTATGTCTGACCCTAGGTTCATCATCTGATAAATCCTGTTGGATTACTGCTACTGTCATCAGAGTAATATTTGCATGTAATTAATCTATCTTTTTTTTTTTTTAAACTGGTATCACCCCATGCAAGGTAGTGAAGCCACTATGACAGAAAAGGTTAGAGGGTGTGAAGGATTACGAGCAGAAACATTAATAATGAGCAGGAAGAGGAAACAGTAATCAGGAAGGCAGTGAATAGCAATTGACATTGCATTTAAATTTTTGCAGATTAAAGTTGGCTGGAAAGGATCAAGTGGAAGGGAGTTCCACAAGCGAGAAGTGTGAGAAAAGAAACTGTTAGCATAGAATTTAAAGTTACGTCTAGGCAGCTCAATTGATGAGATCTCGATGTCAGTCTAGTACTGTGCTTGAATTCAAAAAGTCTAGGTATCATAGCTGTCCTAGCAATGGATTGAATATAGTCTTTCCACTTCATGTCAGCTGAAAATGTTAGCCCAAGAAGGCATAAAAAGTCACTTTCATGGAGGTTAGCATCAGCCATGCTGATGGAAGGCAGAGAGGGGTCTCTCAGATCATTAATGGAGAGAAGTTTAGTTTTGTAGGCATTAAAATTAACAAGCCATCTTTTCCTCCAGTTAATGATGTACTTGAGGTTGTTTTGGACATTGGCTGCCATTTTGACCTTTCTGATGAGTAAAATAGTTGCCATATTTTAAGCTTTAATGTTTATTTCTTACTATTTTGTGTATATATATATATATATATATATATATATATATATATATATATATATATATATATATATATATTTAGTGTCAACAAGAATGATATGTCCAAGATAAAATACATTTTCGAAATAGAATCACATATTAAAGGATTTAAGTAGGAAGTTAGGTTTACTCAGAGAATACAGTTTCCACAGAGAGCCTTCTACAAACCATCCACAATCCTAACTGTGGAAAACTACTAGGCCAAAACTATCAAATTTCTTACAGTAATACAACACATGGGAAAAAAAAACAAAAACAAAAAAAAAACATCAACAACAAAATACCCCCAACCCTAGAAGAGTGAGTCCCACTTCATTGCTTCTTTCTTATTTTGTTGATAAAGGGTATAGGCATGTCTAAAAATTCTCACTTTAAAATCTTTTTCTTTATTCTTGGATTTCGTCAAAAGGTCTACCATTATAAAATAAATATCATCAGTCTTACTGACAATATTTTTATGATTTGGGTGACTTTTTATTCCTTGAATTTCATTAATTGGCCTATTAAATCTACACACACACACACACACACACACACACACACATATACATATATATATAAATATATATATATATATATATATATATATATATATATATATACTAACAACATGGCCCGGCATTGCCTGTGCTTGATTCAAAAATCGTACAACTCATACAGCAATCGCTATCACTTGACTTAAAATATTTTTGCCCTTCCTTGCCTTTAAAGGAGTGCCCTTTGCTGTGCTGATGTTGCTACATGCCTTACTTCTTGTCTATCTCACACTGCAAATTTTTTCTAAGCTCTATACTAAACATTAAATCTGTTACGAAAAAGAACTAAACAAAATGAACACAAAACGATCAGCTTTAAAAAAGGACTCATAACTGGAAAACCCGAATGAAAAAAGAATGTTAACAACAAATACTTTTTCACACCCAACCCATTTCTGTGGAATCAGAATCAACGTTGAGTTTAAGCAAGCGAATGAGCCAATTGGAGTAAAGTGCTGTGCAGATTTAAATTTTTCCTACTTGTGATGAATGCAGCTATCAATTTTTTTTGCATGATAGCATCCTAGTTAACATTCGTGTCAGTCAGTTGTTGGCTCTCATGCTGGCCAATAGAATCTTCCTGCCTATTTGTGGCAGCCAGCTATAGGCTCTCACTCTGGCCAGTACAAAATGGTTGCAAACTACATGAAAACTTCCGTAGAAGCATGAAAAAATCGATTATTTCCACTATCAATGGGAGTTGGGAAATACAAAGTCAGTCTTGGCCTTCTCTCTAACTTGGAGCATGTGCATGTAAATTTTGGTGCAAATCCATCGAAAATTGCAGCTATGCATTCGTTACACACACACACACACATCCCGCCTTTTATTGACAGAGATAGGAGTCATGGATAGTGGCTCGAATTGAGGAATCAGAGAGCTGAGTTTGAATTCCAGTCAAATCCATTTCATTCACTTACGTGCTAATACCCTTGAGTAAAGTATTAATCTTCTTCTTCTCCCTCCAGCTATGGGTGAATAGCAGGACAGACTGAATGGCAACTGGTCTAGGAGGGTCGTTTAGGGACCTTGTCGCACGTAGTGCACCAGGTCTCTGTATTCGGCCCTTCAAAAAGTGCGGTTGTTTCTGCACAAAAGCATTCACCACTATAATCAAATCATATGTGCTGGTGTCTGGGCTGTCAGTTCCTAGTAACTGAGCTGCTTGACCCTCATACATCAAATATGACAGAAGAGTCTACCATATATATTATTATTAAATGGATTAAGTCCGACAAATGTATTCAGGCCAGTAAATGTAATTAATGCTGTTTAATTAAAAAAAAACAGAGCATTTACTTAAATAAATTTTATTTATTTAAATAACGTATAAACAGAATATATATATATATAGTTATAGATAGATAGATAGATAGATAGATAGATAGATAGATAGATTTAAGTGGATAAACTGTACAATGTTCATATTTTGTTATTGTTTCTTCATGTACTTTCAACCATCACAGTCATTATCAAGAACCAATGTGTTGTCTGTGCAGTAGTTAGAATTCTTTTGTCTATATCCTGGTATTCTTTGAAGAGCTAAAAGTTTGAAATAGTCTAGTGCAGGGGTGGCCAACCTTTTGATTCCATGCGCCAAGATTTTGTACAATTAATTTAAATGCGCCACACAAACATTCACTTCCTTTCAGTACATGTTTTAATATGGACATATTTTAAAGTTATAATAAAATCTATTTATTTGAAAAATATATGCTTATGACCAGGGGCGTATCCAGGAGTTTTGAAATAAATATAAGTTGTGCAATAAATATAAAATCACTGAAATGAATGAGTAGAAGTGGCTTAGTTTCTTTTCATGAAAAGGATGCAATGCGCCACTTGTAAGCATCCAATGCGCCACTTATGGCGCATGTGCCACAGGTTGGCCATCCTTGGTCTAGTGTGACTTCAACTGTAACACATATTGAGAACGAGGCTACACAAAATGAGTGCAATTCATTTATCTAGTTCTTTTTAAACAAACTTTAAATACACGTGGAGACCTACCAAACTCCATCTGTACCATACTCATTGATAATACAAATATAACATTATCATCCATGTGTACAGAAAGGCTAAAAATAATGGAAGTATTATTAATAGAAAAGAAAAAGCCAACACTCATTAACATTAACTATGAACATAGTCATTATACGCTTCAGCCTTCTTCAGGTGGCTGGAATGTTGAACTGAACCCTTTATTTCGATCACTTGGGTCAACTGTTCTAGTTCCACATGCCATATCTAATGGATGTCAGTTATCAGTTATCTCCTGTTATTTCGCCATTGAGTGAAATAAAGGATTCAGTTTGACAGTTCAACCATCTGAAGAAGGCCGGAGTGTACAATGGCCGAAACATTGTAATAAATATGGCGACAAAGATGAAGACAATAGTCCGAATAATGTAAATAGTGTCAGAAATATAGACAGATACAAGACAATTATGCTGTAACACGATTTGGGCAATTTTGCTGTTATACCTGTGTGCGTGTGTGTGTGTGTGTGTGTGTGTGTGTGTGTGTGTGTGTGTGTGTGTGTGTGTGTGTGTGTGTGTGTGTGTGTGTGCATTTATAAATAGAGCATCATACTATGTTTAAAGATTTGTGTGCATGGCATTAGTAAGAGAAAATAAAGCAAGGAGAGAAGCATGAATTGTGAGTGCAGATTGAATTCACACTTAGTTCATGTTTCCTTAATTGGCATGAAGCAATTAAAAACACATTGGCCATTGCAGTTGAGAGAGAAAGAAATAACTGGGAAAAAGAAGTAACTTCCACCTGTTAAATTATCACTGAATGGTTTCCGAGCCATGGTTTTGCCTTCCCACTGACTACTCATTCCCCTCTGCAGCTTGGGTAAGTGTGATGAAACTATCATCCATGGAAATTCACCCGTCTTCATGCATAACTAATCAATGCTTAAATCAGTGGAGTTTCATATGAGGACCAAAAATGATATCTTAACATTGGTGAAATAAATATAAAGCAATCAATCAGTGAATAAATATTTTTCTCACTCACTAATATTACATGATTACATTAGCACCTTAGACAAGCATAATGCCAGAAACAAAAATGCAATCACTATATAAATATTATTTGAATTAGTGTTTTAATTTGTCCAAGCTGGTAAGAAAAGCTGAAAAAGAACAATTTAGATAGATAGATAGATAGATAGATAGATAGATAGATAGATAGATAGATAGATATGAATAAACTTAGATATGAATAGTTATAGATTGATAGATAGATAGAATGAACATAGATATGAATAGACTTAGATATGAATAGATAGATAGATAGAATGAACATAGATATGAATAGACTTAGATATGAATAGATAGATAGATAGATAGATAGATAGAATAGATAGATAGATAGAAAGAATGAACTGACAGATATGAATAGAATGAGATATGAACATAGATAGATAGATAGATAGATAGATAGGTAGGTAGAATGAACATAGGTATATATGAATAGACATATATGAATAAAAGATTGATAGATATAATTATAGAATGGATATAGAATAAACGTAGATAGATAGATAGATAGATAGATAGATAGATAGATAGATAGATAGATAGATAGAATGAACTGACCTACATAGATAGATTGAACAGAGATAGATAGATTGATACATATAGACTGACAGACAGACAGATAGATAGATAGATAGATAGATAGATAGATTGAACAGACTGAGATAGTATGGACATAGTCAAATAGATAAACTGATAGAGTGAACAGATTTAGATAAAAAAACAAATTTAGATCAATTGATTGAACAGACATAGAATGAACAGAGATAGATAGATATTTACCTATTTGTGTTCATGCTATTGTGTGAACAGTCATTGCATTTAAATTTTTAAATATCTTAGTTGAAAGGAAAGCAAGAAACAAAAAGACTATTCCAAAAGTGAGAAGTGCGGGAGAAGAAAATATCAGCAAAGAACTTACAGTTACAACTGGCCATTTCAACTGTAAAATGGTGAGAACTATCTGCCAATCTTGTATTGTGCTTAAATTTGTAAAGTTGATGCACCAAAGAGGAAAACTCATCAAAACAATTACCATGAAAATATTTATAGAAAAGGCAGAGGTAAGCTATGTTACAGCACCGGAAAAGTGACTGAAGCTGAGATGCCAGATCAGGACCATTGCAGATTTTTCTTATGTAAGCAGTTTTAATTTTGAGGTGTTAAATATAACAATGCATTTCTTAGCCCCTTAATAACTGATTGAAGGCTATTTTCTAGATCAACTGCCAATTTGATTTTATCTAACCTATTATACGTATATTAAGACAGAAGTAAATAGTTATGTCACCAGCATAGACATGGAGTTGGGAAGTGATGACATTGGGAAGGTCATTGACAAAAATAAGGAACAAAGTATGTCCAGGAATAGAACCATGTGGGATACCTGCATTAATGCAAAAAGGTATATAGGTAGATTTCATTATGCAGTTTGAATCAAATCAAAATATTGGTCAGAAACACCATAAGCCATCAACTTGTGAAGAAGAAATGCCTTCAGGATATCTAAAGCAACATCATAAGCTTTGCCAGTCTTATCTAAGGTTTGTCGGACTCTTTCAGCAATAATCTTCATCACATTAGTGGTTGAACAGGAGAAGAGAAAGCCATATTGATAGCAAGAATGTATGAAACTTAGATAGATAGAATGAATGTAGATATGAATAGATAGATAGATAGATAGATAGATAGATAGATAGATAGATAGATAGATAGATAGATAGAATGAACATAGATATGAATAGACTTAGATATGAATAGATAGATAGATAGATAGATAGATAGATAGATAGATAGATAGATAGATATGAACAGACTTAGATATGAATAGACTTAGATTGATAGATAGAATGAACATAGATATGAACAGACTGAGATATGAACAGACTGAGATATGAATAGACTTAGATAGATAGATAGATAGATAGATAGATAGATAGATAGAATGAACATAAATATGAATAGACTTAGATATGAATAGACAGAAAGATAGAATGAACTGTCATAGATAGATAGATATAATGAACATAGGTAGATATGAATAGACTTAGATTGATAGATAGAATTATAGAATGAACATAGAATAAACATAGATAAATAAATAGATAGATAGAATGAACTGACCTAGATAGATAGACATAAGAGACTTAGAATGAACAGACTTAGATAGATAGATAGATAGATAGATAGATAGATAGATAGATAGATCCAGTATCACTCATAAATAAGTACAGCCCTACTAATTTTTATAAAAACTAAATCTATTCTATGCTATTTCTATGTCTTCTATGTGCTGTGTCTATTCAAGACATGGGCAATATCCATGATTTTCTATCATTTGTGGTACATAGTAGTTTTTTCTCCTTTTGCTAAGGTCCTCACCCCTGTTCTCTTATCCATCACACAAGCTCTGCAGGTAAATGGCTTGCCGACTTCTCCTATATCTCTTCCTCTCAACATGCCCTGTGAGTGTTAAGTTACCCAACCCTTCCTTCCTCATCATGTCCAAGGAATTTCAGCTTTCTTTTCCTGATTCTCAGTAAGTGTTCTTTTTATTGTTATTTTCTTTAAGACTTTCTTATTAATTACTCATTTGATCCATGGAATTCTTGATATCTGTATCTACAATTCTCAAAATGTGTGTGTTTATGTATGTGTATCAGTGTGTGATCGAATGTTGTTTATGCGTTTCCTTTTTTTCATCCGATTTCTATGAATTTTTTTTGTTTGATAGATAATTCTTCAGTGTCGGTTTTGAGTCCAAATTGTTGACGACAATGGCTCTCCACTACTTCCTGTCCATTATAACTCTCAACAATGTTTTACTATTTACTATCTGTTCTTGGATATATATCTTTCATAAAAACTTTAATAAAAATAAATACTTTAAATTATTACAATACATTTATTTTTCCAACCTTTCCTAAAGTTATTCAAGCTTAGTGATTCCTGTAGCTTTACAGCATTCTCTTCTGTTATTTGCCCACGCATTCCATTTGACAATTCATACTCATCTAATACATGCCACCAAAGAAAAGAACTTGCCTACGTCGCAAAACCGCTGCCACCAGGTCCGCGATGCGAATAAGAGATAACGAAGCATCTTTAGAATGTTCAGTTTGCCTGTCTGAAAATGCCTCTCAGAATGCTTCAATCAGAGCCACTGAGTCCAAAGATCAATGTAGCTATTGGCTTTGCAGAAAAGCATACTTGAACGCTTCTGTATGCAAAACTGAAAATGATGATCAAAGGACTCAATGGCTGAAGAGAAACACCTCTTAAACTGCTGCTGTGTGTGAGGCTGAAACAAGATTGAGAATGCAAAAATGGCCCTTTACAGGGCCACACCCCCATTCAAATTGTTAACCCCCCATTTGGGGATGTGCCTCAATTGCACCTAATTGTTGTTAATAATATTGATTTTTGGGTGGCTGACTTTAAACTTAAACTACTCCAATTGAACGGTAAAAATTCTCAGTAATGAAAGACCCGGTCAAAGATAGGTTATACTGCTAGTCATCTATAGAACCACATTTCTGCCGCCTCCAGTTTTCTCCTCATCAGTACTCATCTTGCATTATTATGGAACATCATACAATCAAAATCTATATTTTTATTACCAAACTCTACTTCATTGAAGCTCTGTAAACAAAAATGTAAATATGTAGCAGGATAAAAAAATAAATATATCTCTGCAAAAATTTATTTCATTCGATATAATAACTATATTTTCAAAGCAAACTTTTTTCTTGTAGTACCTTTATGTTGAATATAAATAATATACAATGTTAAAATCGTTATTATAAAGCCTCATTTTCAGTATAGAGACGCTAATTTTAAAAATGGCTTCAAATCAAAATGAATTCTCCTGATATTAAGGAACATTCATTTGTACAATCATAACAGGAGCTACCAAAAATAGCTTCTAGATTGGAGTTTAACTGCTGTTTTATGGAACTGACACCCAAGAGAATACTTCCTCAATCATTACAAACATCCTGGGTATGATGATAAACTACATCCGGCAGCAATGCTTCTGACGGGCAGGTTTTGAGGCATGTGGAACCACCTCTTAATTGCTGTTGTTCCCAGGTTCAATCTGGTTAGGGTCCCAGCTATGGGAAAATATGAAAACCCAACAAAACAAAACACTATGAAAAAATTACCAAAGCTGCCAAGGAAATTAAATTTTGACATTAAATGACCCATAAGGAGTAGAGATGCTTTTAAACAAACCAAACCAATCACCACAATCTTGGCCTGTTCAAGTCTATGGTCAGTAGTTACCTTCCTCAAAATAACCACACAAATTGTGTTCTTACTCTGTAACCCTCTACCTTGAGTGGCTCTTGGGTATTGTACAGGATAAACATTATTGTTAATAAAAAAGAAGCAAATATAGTTGCGAAAATGGAGCAAACTTGAAAGAAAAGTGGAAAAATTGGTAGTGTACACATATGACCAGGTTGACCATGAAAATTGATTTCAAAAGTCTATTCAGGAGATTAGTGGATAAAGCATGAAAAAATCAGTTATGTGTCCTGTGAATGTTTCAACAAACGTTTCCTGAGATTACACAGCCAATGACTGAATAAGAAACTGCTATTGAATTTGAGATAAAAACACTATTGTTTAAAGTTTGCACAGGGGAATTATCTCCTTCTGTGCACAGTGCCCAATCATGGCTCTCCACAACTTCCTATCCCTTGTAGCTCTTATCAACATTTGTCCTATTTCCACTCCTCCTCACCCCTGTTTCAACATCCATTCACACCAAGTTGGTCAGGTAGACAGTCTGCTACCTTCCCCAGTCTCCTTAGCCTTCAATATCTCCTGTAAGTATCAAATTATCCAAGACCTCTTCCTTATTAAGTGTCTATGAATTTTAACATTCTGATTCTGAATATAAATGTCCTTTTTTGTGAGAGCCATTCTTCTTTGAACTTTGTGGCAGTCCACAAAGTGCTACAGAATCCCAAACAAAGAACTGTACCAAATAACAGAAACCATATCACTTAAGGACTGCCAACAGTAGTGGATAGCACATATAACTCAATGTGAAAATAATGGCATAATCAAGTAATTGATCCTAGTAAATAGGTTTGCCTATTGTTGTGTTCACACTCCTCCCTGGTCTTTTGAACACAAATAGAGGTTTACCCCTTGTTTCCTGTTTAGGATTAGGTTTCTGGTTCCTTCTAAAGTCAACTTCAACTCTATACTTCTAACATCTCTGTCTAAAACTCTGAACCTTTATTTACTATTTATTTACATTCTCTTTCCTCAATAGGAGTAAATAGATTTGCCTATTGTCCTGTTCATACTCCTCCCAATCTTTTGAACAGGTATAGAAGTTTATCTCTTGTTTCCTGTTTAGGATTGGGTTTACAGTTCCTTCTGAAGTCTACTTCAACTCTATATTTCTAATGTCTCCACCTAAGACTCTGAACTTTTATCTACTTCAAAGGGGTAGGGAAGAAGCATGCATCAGTACTGGAAAGAGCAATAACAGTTAGTGGACTTAAGGAACCTATTTTCCTGAAGAATTGTTTTAAGAGAAAGATTTTATGAATTTCATCCGAAAGTAACACTGGCTACTTGGTTAATGAATACCAAATATTTCCTTATAAGAAAACGGTAAATATTACCATTACCATTACCTTAAGATTTCTTTGTTACTTGCATGCTCTGTCTGTGGCATTCTCAGAATCCTTCTGTAGAACTACATTTTCTGTTATTTCCAATAAACAAAAATCAATCTAATTGTTTCTAATGGCATCTGATGAATTTGATGGTATCATGAGCAATGAGAAGTGTTTGGTCTCATAGAAGCCTAGACCATGGATAGAATTGTAGTGGAAATGTCACTCTCATAGCATTATGAAGCTGTCTTTTATTGACTGTATCAAGAGTGCTGAAGAATGCATCAAAATATTGAAAGCAAATAGGCTAGCTTCACTCAAGTGCTTGGAAAGGAGAGCTAAGGTTCCAGCATGATAATAATCCCAAACATTCTTCTTAAAATTTCTAAAGAAGCAAAAGATACAAGTGTTCAATTGGCCAACGATGTCACTGGATTTAAATCTAATTGAGCACTTGTATGGAAAGTAGAAAAACAACCACCATTCAACAAAACAAAATTGAAAGACTGCCTACTGACAAAGTGGAAAAACATTCCAATGATTGTCTAGCGAGGCTAGTGTCATTACGACTACAAGCAGTTGTAAAAAAATAAAGGTAGCCATACAAAATGTTGGTTTTAAATAACTTCACTAGATTAACAATGTTTGCTAACACTTTATAACAGCTAGCTGGATCCTGTCAAGGTTTACATTGGATGTAACAGCTTTTTTTTTTTTTTTTTTTTACAGTTATTAAAACCAGGGTAGAAATTATGGAAGAGTGGTTGGTAAAAAGCTCACTCGTTTTCCCATTCTCTTTATTAACTCTCACTGCATCTAGAAAAGATATTTTGATAAAGGTATCTGATGACTAAACTCCTTTCTTTTTTTCTTGCTTTCCTCTTCATTTTCTTTCTTCTTCCTTTACATGGTTTCTGATCTAAACTTGTTGGAGGCTTTAACATGTACATATTTTCTCTTGGTCAATTAAGATGGCCTACAGTAAATATTGTGTTCAGTACCACAGATTTACTTGTCAGTTGCCTGACCACAAACTGTTGCACATGTCCCCTAGAGACTAATGAATAGTGCATCGTTTTCCACGAGTGGGAGTAGTGGGGAGCAACATAACTGCATGCCAAGTGGCTTGTTTTTTGTTTTTTTTTAATTTGAAGGGTGAGGCAGCCAAGGTGACTTGGGAGTCACATCTAGTTACTTGGAAACAGAGTCAATTCTTGGTTACTGAATCTAAAAGTATTTCAAAACTGGACCCCATCTGTGAAGTTATGCACTGTTCTTATCAAACTCTGTCACCATATTTGTTTGCGATCTATGGGTCTTGTATACCCTTATTAACCTGTCTGTTCTTATCATTGCTTGCAAGCTGATGTTAATTAAACTTGGCTGCATGTGGCACAAGACCACAAAATATGAGCACCCTGTGAACAAATTCACATTAACAATTTTCAATCTAAAACTAGCTGGCTCCTGTTAGGGTTTACATTGGGTGTAACAGATTTGTTGGGGTGCCAGGTGATACTTGTGATAGGATCTTGAGCACAGAAGGTGACATGTTGTTGGTGTCAACTCATTTAAGGTAGTAGCAGTGATTACCATTTATTCTGGGAGCTGTCCAGAATAAAACAATGTTCAACCAATATACATAGAAACAGACGTAAGAATGCGCAATGGTGAAGGAAATCATTAAAACAAATGAAATTTAAATGAAACTAAAGATAAAGATTTATTTATCAACGAATAACGATTTATTTGTATGTTTTATATAAAATGTAGTGAATATAATAAGACCCTTGAAAGGAAGGTTAAGTTCACATATACACATTTGAAGTGTTTTTAAATACACCCTTGAAAGGGAAAAGTTAACATACACGCATTTAGGTGTTCTTAATAAAATCCATAAAAAATGAAAAATGTTCAATGACAGACACTGAGGTGTGTTTAATAAAGTCCATTAAAATAGAAAAGTTCAGACACGCATTGAGGATTGTTTATAATAAAACCCTTTAAAGGGGGGAAGTTTATATTTAGGTTTCATTGCAGAATTTACATCAGAAAAGTGGGAAATGTTATTTCAATTGATTAGTAATCCATTTGAGTTGACAATTCATTCTCCAATTGATTTTTCCTTGGTTGCATTTATAGATTTCCTTAAGCAGGTGCTGGCTAACAAAGAAGTCCCTCAAAAATTCAAGGGATGCAACGGAAAATTTATGTAATATTTTGAATATTTCTAAAATGCTGCCAGAAGTGCCACTCAGAGCCTATGCGCAAATGACCAATTTTGGTCATTTGACACTTGACTATTGAGATGGCAACTTCCGGTCAACCTGACAGCTTTTTTGGTAGTCATTACAACCAGGGTGGAAATTATGGGGGAATAGTAGGTAAAAATCTCACTCATTTTCTCACTCATTTTATCAATCACCATGGCATCTGGAGAAGACATTTTTGTTATGGTATCTGATGATTGAACTCCTTCTTCTTCTTTGCTACATATTCATATTTTTTTGTCAAGGAATTTTGCTGTAGATTTTGATAGTAAAAAATATTTAATAATATCCTTTTTTTATTATGTTATAAAAAATTGCTAAGTTTGGTTTAGAAAACAATTAACTTTTTTAAAAAATTGTTTGGGATGCTGCTTATACTTATTTATGGACGATACTTTAGATATCGTTAGCCACAAAAAAAGACAATACTTTTTGAAGTTTTTAAAAAAAAAAAAAAAACAGACAAAAAAAAAAAAGAACAGTTAAAATATTTTTCTTTTCCTTTCTGCCCTTCCATACTTTCCAATAATGTTATGTTTTCACACACTTACTTGACGCAACTACCGAAAAGTAGATATAAACTGACAGACAGTAAAGAAAGAAAGAAAAGAAAAAAAAAAGAGGTAAAAGTCAGTGGGAAAGTGATTAGTTGTAGAGTAAGCAAGAATAAATAAGGCAGGAACACGCCACAAGCAGACAGAATTCTACCGAGCCAAGCTATCAGAAAAATGGTGGTTTTCCAACGAACGGCATTATTCATTTTAAAAGTGTAGTGAACGTTGGTAGGGTGTTGGGTTGCCAACCAGCCAACCAACCAACCAACCAACTACAGAGAAAGCAACTCACAAATCAGACATTTACAATCACGTCGTTGTGTAGTAGCAACAAACTAGGTAGCCATGATGAATGTTGTTAGTTGTTAGGTATATTGTTATTGTTTTCTTTATATTCTTGTCTCCCTCTGTCTTTCCCTTCTTTCTCGCTATCGAATATATTTGTCTGCTTGACGCCAGAAAAACTAAACTTCTCGACGCAGCCCCGAATGGTTGACGGCTTGGCTCACTTGGTGAAAAAAAAAAAGAAAGATTTGCAGCGGGATTTGATTATATCGCTGTGGAGCAATAGTTGGCAAGTTAAGCAAGAAAACCATTATTTGTAGCGGATCGGGTGCCATTGAAATAAAGACTGTCCGGATCTGTCCAGACCCTAAAGGGTAGATTTTTCGACATACGGGAATAGAATTGAACATTTAAACGTTCAACCATACAATTATTAATTAATTTCGATATTCGACCACTAAAAAATCTTACCAATTAATAATTTTAATTGGTACTCGAACTTTTATTGCAATTATGAATTAATAACTAGCTGACTTTATTATTTTTTTTTTTTTTTTAGATTTTTAAATTTTGGTTGTTTATCGCCGAAAAAGTATTTTTTTTTAAATTGTTAAAAATCAAATAATCTATTTATTTTAACAACATAACTGTTTCTTTTTTGTTGTTTTTTTTTTAAATACAATACGTTGTCAAACAATTTTTTTAACCTAAATGTTTCACATTAGAGACGGAAAAAGATTTTATTTAAAATTTTTTTCAAATTTTAGATTTTACCAAAATAAAAATTTTACAAGTTTTGATCGTTTCTTTGTCATTACAATGTTTCTTTTTTTTTTTTTTTTTTTTTTGTCAAAGGAATGAATTTATTTATGAAGTGAGTTTCAGGAAAATAAGTCAAATTCCTTTTATTTATTTTTAGGAACTTCCACAGAAAAGTAAAAACTTTAAACTAAATATTTAAATTATTGCTCTAATTTTTTTCTTTTCTTTTTTTTCAAGTTCTGGAGGTACACAGAAGTTTTTTTTTCAAGCTCTGGAGGTACACAGAAGTTTTTTTTCAAGCTCTGGAGGTACACAGTTTTTTTTTTTTTTTAAGCTCTGGAGGTACACAGAAGTTTTTCTTCAAGCTCTGGAGGTACACAGAAGTTTTTTTTCAAGCTCTGGAGGTACACAGAAGTTTTTTTTTCAAGCTCTGGAGGTACACAGAAGTTTTTTTTTCAAGCTCTGGAGGTACACAAAAGTTTTTTTCAAGCTCTGGAGGTACACAGAAGTTTTTTTCTTCAAGCTCTGAGGTACACAGAAGTTTTTCTTCAAGCTCTGGAGGTACACAGAAGTTTTTTAAGCTCTGGAGGTACACAGAAGTTTTTCAATAGAAAGTTTCCAGTCATTAGAAGATGCAAAACAGTAGAGATGCTGGGGATTGTTTCAGTTTTGGAGATTCTAGCAAAATGGGCTTGTGGGGGCACAGATAAACAGGGAACCAAAAATTATCAAGAGAAAGTTTACAGAATGGTACTTCCCACTCTTCCCCTTGTGAATATAAGCAATAACATTCATAGTTGTCATTGGGCATAGAATTTCAACCTTGATACCAGGAACAAAATATAAGGTGAATAAAAAAAATGGGGTAGCTAACAGAAATATTTACAGAGTTGAGTGAGAGGAGAGGGTGTCTCAATATTTTCAAGTGAAGATTTAAAAGAAAATCTAAGTTATGAACACTAGAATGATTTTTTTTTACAGATTTTTTTCAACAGATTTGAGAAGATTTTTTTCAACAGATTTGAGAAGATTTTTTTTTACAGATTTTTTCCAACAGATTTGAGAAGAATGTGAGTAAATACCCATGGAAAAAGGAACTGAAAACAGTCATGAACTTGGACAGTTAGAATAAATGTGAAAATAGTACCAGAAAATTTTGGTAAAACTGGGTTAGAAAAAATAGGATATTAGCTTCTTCTTCTGTGTGCATATCTCTCCAGGACATTGACAATCATGGCTCTCCACAATTTCATGTCCTTTATAGCTCTTAATAACTTCTGTCTTTTTGTTATCTCTGCTAAACCTTGTTCTGCCCATTCATTTACACAAGCTCACTAGGTAGTGTTATAAAATAAAATAAGACATATCTCGACTGATTTGCAGGCAAATATACTAACATACTCAAGAGCAAGAGCCGGATGTGAACGGGACAAAGCCCCGTCACAAAATGACCATTATCGTCGTTTACACATAGGCCCAACGCATGAGTTCCGGTCAAAAAATAAAATAATATTTTAAAGTGTTTCTATTTTTCAACCAATAAAAATGCTTCCCTCCTAATTATACTGTAGCAGACCCCTCGAGCGCCCCCGTGTCGCAAGAGGGTGATGAGGTCACAAGAGGCCTGCTAGCATTTTCAAAGACATTAAATCTGACAAGGTGAAACAACATAGATGACAGAACGAGTATATATAAGATATAAGCTAATTTATTCTAGGAAAGTAATAAAGAAATAAAGGTGGTCGGAACGGTAGAGATGCAGATGTTCTGGTGCAGGCATTGATGGTTGAGGTTGGTTGTTACAGGTGTCGTTACAGGTGATTGCTGCTGGTCATGCAGGTGGTCGGTGCTGGTCATTGCAGATGATCACTGTAATTGAAGTTGATGTTGGTCGTTGCAGATGATCGCTGCTGGTCATTGTAGTTTGAGGTTGATGTTGGTCGTTGACGGGATGATCGCTGCTGGTCATTGTAGTTTGAGATTGATGTTGGTCGTTGCCAAGCTGCCAACTTGACGTGTTGGGAAGGAAAGAGAAGCTGGCATTGCGATGTTGTTCGGGCATGTCAAAAGTCCAGTGCAGGTGTTGCGTGTCTGCCGGTCGAGTCCGATATTAGTAACCTCCCGTAATAATTACTAATGTAGTGTACGGGAAAGGTTATGGACGATGTGCAGGCAGCCAGTAGGGATGGAATGCCAAGAGTCGAACATTGGCAAGGAGCCAGAAGTAAGAGGCGAAGGAGAAAGAGAAGGAAAGTTTCCAACTATCGTCAAGTTGGCAGACAAAAAGAAATGGGAGCGTAACTTAATACACAGCCCGGTGGTCAACGTCCTGGCCATGGAGGCCAGGAGCCTGCGTACCGACCGTTTCAGTCGCCGACCCTAAATTTAGCGAGAAGTCACTGTCTTGTGGTAAGGGAGACTAGCAAGAGAATTGGTAAGCTAACACAGTAAAGTCTATCTAAAAAATGATTAGAGCTTAGCTAAAAGAAGACCAAAGCCTAAAAATGCCTAGAAGTATATTACAACTAGTTTTGTAATATAACGAAACTGAAAAAGTAACTTGCTAGTCTCTACCTCAGGTTAACAGCGTGTAGGGAGCACAACCGAAAGGTCAATGTTGAAATGACCTGTTTCTTTTCCAGTTTAAGGAGCCAAGGAGGAGGTAACTCCGACAATACTCGCATCGTTTTTCGAGCCTGTTAAGCTATAAAAAACGCCATAAAAAGGGTCACACGGATAGCAGCAGTCAACAGAAGTCGAGGAAAGAAATCTGTCATGGTCAGCCTGGGCAGTCAGCAGAAGGAGCGCCATGCCAACCAGTGAGAACTACTATGAGAGATCAATCCAGATCGGCAGCCGGCTTATGAACTATACCACAAGGTAGCTGTCCTAAACCCACACGTTCCTATTGAAATAAATCACGTAAATCTATTTCTGCTGTTGTCACATTTCTTTCTTGCAACAATCTTGCTTGTCTATAACAGTAGGTTATGTATTTTTCCTCTGTATCTCCTGCCTTCAGTTTTTCTTGGAAGTATCAAATTTTTCAGACCCTCTTTCTTCATTATGGATATCAACTAAAGGAGGTAAATACTTTTGTTGTCAAACGGGCAAGGAGATATGGTGAACGGTTGTCAAAATATTTTTATGGTCAAATATTGAGATTTGTCAAACTGATATGGTTGAATGTTAAGTTTTAGCATCCTTCAAAGCCATGTCAGAAATTACCACAGTATACTAGTCTAGTCGAAGGTTAGTGACCTTGTTGCAGATGCCTGCTTAGATGCATTTGTGCTTGTTCAACACTATGGAACCCACCTGTGGTTTATACTGCAACTATTTTGAGCAGACCTTAGTTACAGTTTCTGAGAGAGAGAGAGAGAAAGAGAGAGAGAGAGAGAGAGAGAAAGAGAGAGAGAGAGAGAGAGAATCATTTGGCACAATCAACAGTTTGAACAATGTCAGTGCACTAAAATCCTCGGTCACGATGACTTGGGACTTCATGCTAGCACATCCATCAACAAACAATTCAGTCTACCCAATTTCACTCACAAGGCTTGGGTCAGCCTGTGGTGTGGTTTACAGACACTTCTAAAAATAAAAAAAATGGTTGTCTATTTTTCAAATATAGGTATCCATTAAAACAATATTTGAAGTCCTAAAAATGTTGGATTAAAAATAAATCCATTAATTCTTTAGAAATTGCTTTGTTTATGTTTCAGATACAAAATTGGTGGCTTTCAATAGAAATTTGAACAAGGACATGTGCTTTCTTTGCAAGGGAAAATAAATCAGTACTGGACTGTTTGCTCTCTGTGGCCAGTCTAAGAGACACCAGATCAAATGATTGTTTCTCCTACAAATGGGAACACAGGTTGATAGATTTAATGCACACTTTAAAATAAAAACTATGCGTCTATTTTAAATATAGGTATAAATTAAAAATAATGTTAAAAAAGTAAAAATATATATATATATATATATATATATATATATATATATATATATATAAGTCAATCTGAAATATCGAATATATATATAAATAAATAAATACTTTCATAAAAAAACATTATTTTTTAATTTGCAACTTTTTCTATATATATATATATATATATATATATATATATATATATATACCAACATGCAAGCCACCGATCTGCCACTAGGTGGCATGCCACTAGTGTTTATTGCTGGCAGCCCACTGTCGAACTGCTGGTATGTTCATCTTGGAAATGTTACCACTGGCATACCGCTACAGGCCCACCTGTGGCTGCCACCAGAGGGATATCATAACATCAACGTTGTGATAGATATATTTTGATTCAAACCGTAAAACAGTGATTTTGAGCTCAGCACCAAAGATTTCATCGTGCATGAAACCCAGAGTCATGCTAGAGGTGTGAGATAGTATGTATATTTATCAATATATATATATATATATATATATATATATATATATATATTTGTTTAAATATTATTTTTGAAATATATACTCATATTTGAGTAGGTGCTCTGTTTTCATTAATTTATTAAATAGTATATTTATTTATCATCATCTGCTGGCATGAGTATTTGAGAAATCTCATTAGAAAAATATGTGTCCTCCAACAGGATTTTCTGATAAGATTTCTCAAATAATTTCATGCTTTTTATGCACCCTAGAAAAACCAACTGTACTTTTTCACCCCTTACCTGTTTGTATTTCTCCCCATAATTTGGTTTCAATTTGTCAATGTATGGCTATTTTAGAAGGTGTGACAGATGAACTGATAGACTAACAGAAGCCGCAGAATTTCATATATATATATATATATATATATATATGTATATATATATAGAAAGATAGATAGATAGATGGAGAATGATAAAATTGATACAGTGTTTAAAACATATATCAGATTTTTAGCATGTATAGAGTTATTAGAAATTCTATATTCTTCAAGTAACACACTTTCAAATAGAGACAGGCGCTTTTACTGTTGAATATTCACATGCATTTTGTATCTATGTCGACAGTTGCGCATCAGGGATAAATAAAAGGACAATATATTAAGCAGTCAGTCTGTGTGATAATCTGAGTAGCAGCCGGATGTAACAGTTCCAGTCGAAGAAGTAAGAGGAGTCATTAAGAAATCTTCCTGTGTCTAGTCTATTTCCTGTCGTATGAAAAATGTCTTCACAAGAAGAAGCTGGACTAAAAAAAAAGGGAAACAATTTTTTATAAATCACTGCAACTATTTTGGGATTATAAAGATTTTGGATTTATACTTTATTTGCTTTCTTTTCCTTTTTCCACATTTGCATGTAGTGTGTGTGTGTGTGTGTGTGTGTGTGCATAAGGTTGACCTTGTACAAATATTCAAATCGGTTACAAAGAAAAAACTTTGTGAACGAGTTGAATATTTGTACAAGGCCAACCTTAAACACGCACACACATAGACCAGACACACATATATAATAACACTGCATACAAATGTGACCAGAATATAATATAATATAATATATATATATATATATATATGAATAAAAATGACAATAGGAAAACTAGTAATTGCTTGACGCGTTTATCAAAGCAAAAATACGATATTTAGGTATTTTGCTTTGATAAAGTTCATATTGGATGAAATGCATCAGCAATTACCAGTTTTCCTATTGTCATTTTTATTCATAAATATTGTCTTCTCTACTGGTTAAATCAGAGAAATGTATATATATATATATATATATATATATATATATATATATATATATATATATATAGATAGATAGATAGATAGATTGTCTGATCATCACGGGGTATGAAACCCAGAGTCACAATCAATCCAACTAAATATGTTAGCTCTATCATTGATACTGAGTGCTTTCCAATAAGAACCATGCATATATAATATATAAATAATATATATAAAAATTACATATATATATATATATATATATAGCTTAAAACAAACCTTTAAACATAGTATGATGCGCTATTTTGAAGTTTATAAGTGTATACACATGCACGCACACATACACACACACTCATATATATATATATATCTATATATATATATATATATGTTTCATTAAAAACAACTGACAAAACATTGTGATTAATCTTTTTATTTCATTTTTCTTGTGTTCGTAAAAGTGTTTTCTTTTTGGGACATAAAGTGTGTAAAATCTGTACAAAAGTTCTGCATATCCGAGTACTTTCAACTCTTCTTAATTGTTATCAATGATAATTTTTATATTTTACTAGCTTAAAAGCCACCCAATCAGGCAATATTTAAGCTAGCTGCTGCAGAGGGCTTTTGATTGGTCCTTCATCACAATTGGTAGAGAGAAGTAGATTCAATAGGCAACAATAAAACATGGAAGAACTCAAAACTGATTGCTGCATTTAAGTACTGCATTAATATTTAAGCTTACCTTTTAAAAGTTCAACAATAATTCTTCTGCCACCACTTAATTTAAAAACAATTTAATGTATGTAGCTCCTTACTTTCCGAACAAACAATTATTTTTATTTCATGGTTGACTTACGCCAGATTTCGGAATTAACTTTTATTATTCCCAAATTTGTTTATAAAAAACTGTTTATAAAAAACTGTTTATAAAAAACTGTTATCATACAAAAAAATTTGTTGCAAAAAATCATGTAAAAAAAAATTGCCAAAAACAATCACAGTAATGAAAAATTGGGAATCTAAAATTTCAAGATGGGTCCAGAATTTGCTCACAGAGTTGACTTGATTACAAAAGGATATGATATGTTGGGCTCTGACCTACATGAGGAAACTTGAAAAAGTACGACACAGTGACATTCGCATTTATTATATATATATATATATATATATATATATATATATATATATATATATATATATATATATATATATATATAAAATGGCTCACATATATTTATTATTAGTATATATGTGTAAAAATTCAGCTATAAATAAAATATATCTGTTGTTATTGTTAGCACCCACTTACATCCAAGCATTGGGATCATCATCCTCTCTACATGAGGAAAGTTGAAAAAGTATGACACAGTGACATTCGCATTATATATATATATATATATATATATATATATATATATATATATATATATATATATATATATAAATGGCTTATATATTTATTATTAGTATATATGTGTAAAAAAATTCAGCTATAAATAAAATATATCTGTCCTCTCACATCCAAGCATTGGGATCATCCTCCTCTCTCCTTATTCCCTTACTGTCCCCTGTTGGCAGTGGTGAAGATGGCTTTGAATCAGAGTTTGATGAGGCCATTCACATGAATTTGATTTTGGTGAACAACTCTGCATGACAGAGCAGCCTAAACACTTGGCCAGAAGTGCCTTCTTCATAACTCAAAGTGGATTGAGGTAGGTGAGATCTGGCAAACCTGGTTGCATTGGGTTGCCAGATGCTTGGTCTGTCAAGTTACTCCTTGGTCATGCCAATATATCTGTAAAGGCATATAAATAAAAAAAAAACCAGAGGGATTTAACCAAGGGGATGAAACTCATTGATAAAGAAAATTTTTCTTTTCATCTCATATTCATATATATATATATATATATATATATATATACGAGGTCTGTCTGAAAATTAACTGGAGTGGATGTACTGTGTGAGCTATGGGCTTTCTCCACAGTGAGTTCTTGCTACAGGGACAGACAACCAAACAGTAAATCTGCAAAGAGCCCCTGCGTTGCATAAGAGATAAAAGACAAATCGTGGTTTCTTCACCACAATAACGCACCTGCTCACAACGACCTGAGCAGTGGCAGTTCCCAGCTGAGAAGAACATTGTTGTACTGGAACAACCTCCCTATTCACCTGATCTTGCTCTGTTTGACTTTTTCTTTTACCCAAGCTCAAGGGGATCATAAAGGGGACCTGTTTTAAAGGTGTGGCTGTAACTACAGTGCTGAGGGGCATTCAAGAAGAATCCTTCCAGCAGTGAATAGAAGTGTAGCAGAGAATGATGAAAAAGTGCATTAGACCTGAGGGGAATTATTTATAAAGAAAAACCATGTAGTTTTTGTTTGGAATTTAAATAAATTGTTTGTGACATCAGTCACGTTACTTTTCAGACAGACCTCGTATATATATATATATATATATATATATATATATATATAGGATCTCACAAATTCATATCCATACAACTGAATATATATATATATATATATATATATATATATATATAGAATCACAAATTCATATCCATACAACTGAATATATATATATATATATATATATATATATATATAATAACAAATTCATATCCATACAACTGAATATATATATATATATATATATATATATATAAAATCACAAATTCATATGCATACAACTGAATATATATATATATATATATATATATATATATATATATATATATATATAATCACAAATTCATATCCATA